CTCGAATAGCTATTAGTGACGTGGACATATACAGGAGATATATATAGATATTTATCTATATATACAAATGTGTGCAAATATATATATCCGTCACTAATAGCTATTCGAGTTAACTACAGTGTTTCGAGTGCAGTTCAACGTGTTCGATGGCGGAATAGAGCAGCGTGACCCTATTCATATATATATATATATATAAATTGGTGCGAGTAGAACTAGGTCGCGCTGCTCTATGTGAGCTCCCGTCATCGGACATGTTGAACTGCACTCGAGACATCGGGACCAACTCGAAAGACTGTGAGTGACGTGGACGTATACAGGGGATATATATTTAGATGTAAGTGTTCGATGACGGAAGCTTGCTTGGAGCACAACGGCCTAGTCAAACTGACACCTTGATATATGGGTGTGAGCGTGAGTGATATATATATATATATAGTGTTGTTCAATATTTTCTATGCCCGTGAGTTTGACTGCCTTGGGCCACAAGAGCGTGTACCTGATTCCCGACAAACATATCAGGTATCGCACACTATGTATGCCTCGATCTGCCTTTACTTCCACAGCCACTTAAGCTGGTTTTTCTCTTCCACTACACTGCAGGCTAGTCTAGTTAAAGTTGGGCATCTGAATGCGGATACCTTCATGGGCTTTCTGGCGGTGTCCTGTATGTTCGCAGGGGCCGCAACCTCCGCATTACAGGTGTGTCTAGTTCATTTTCAGATGAGTATGTGGTTTTATCTTTGTGCTTACGGGTATCTATGATTGTGTTTTTTTGGTTTTTGTTTTTCGTATTTTCAGCTTAATATGTGGTTTTGTCAGACGTTTATTATAAACGACTTATTATTGCGTGTATGGTTGTCCTAATTATATAGACATAGCCGATACCCAAAATGTGACCACAGCTGATCAGGATCTGCTCATCCCTTTCTCTCGTACCAATCAGCCGCACATTATGAATAACTTGTTTGGCCCACTTTCCCTATCCTATTCATTGCTAAAATAAAACCCTAAACCAACTCTCAAACGCTACAACACTCAAACTGTAAACCATCACAGGGAGGTATGTTTGGGCTGGCGGGACTTCTGCCTGGAGTGTACACTCAATCGCTCTTGCTTGGCCAGGTATGCGTGTGATACTCATTAGAGGGTTTAGGAGAAACGTGCCAGTTGTGTGGGGTGCTGTAGAGATATAGTTGTAAGTGAGTTCATATGTGCCATGGGCGTTGGTGTGCGTGTGATACTCATTAGAGGGTTTAGGAGAAACATGCCAGTTGTGTGGGGTGCTGTAGAGATATAGTACTAAGTGAGTTCATATGTGCCATGGGCGTTGGGTGGGGAAATATTATCAGCTACGTATGTGTGTATGAATACCTCAGGATAGAGTGTGTGGTACCTCGATAGACACATCAGTTGTGTGTGTTGCTATAGGGTTAATGTATGTATGTATATATTTAAAACCTATATACATATTTATATGCTTATATGCCAATGTCCTCAAATTCGAATGTGCAGGCAGACACCTATTATCCTACCTTCACTTCCACTGGTCAGTGTTCAACCTATGTCGCTTTACCACTAAACTCTCCTCTACACACGTTTCCTCAGGCTCTGGCTGGTCTGATAGTCGCAGGCCTAAACGTCCTGTTCTTAAGGGGGGGCGTTGACCTAGGCTTTAATCCGGCCTTTGTGTACTTTATCACATCCTGCATTGTCGCCTTTTTCGCGCTCTTTGCCTTCGTGTGGGTGGTGCGCACGCCTGTCATGAAGTACTACGCCCAGCACGATACGGTAGGCGAGACGGTTGCTGTGATTTATTCTGTGTATGGTGTGTTTTTGTGTCTGTGTAGTGTAATATATCATGTGTATGTGTGTATAATTGACATTGATAGGAATATAGCGCGTGTATGGTGTGTTGTGTACTTGTACAATGGGCCTTGGGTGAGATTACCCACGTGTCTATTGTGTGCATTTATATATATTTTTGTTAATGTTTTCGGTTTTTTGATATGTAAACCCCAAAAATAAGTGTATTCGGGTGAGAAAGGTCTTTAAATCCTTTCGTATTTCTTAATATACCGCTGCTTGTCGCCGCGGCTTGTTAGCAAGCCCCTCTGTAGCTAAACATTACTCGTCTTATAACTCGACACTCCTTGGGAAGAGACTACTGCGCATCTGAGCACGCCCAGAAAATGGAGGCCTTTCTCATTGTAAATACGGCCTATGTACACACTACTTGTGTCGACGATGTACGTTGTGTGCGAAATATTCTTGTGTGGTTGGGTTGTGATCCACCACAGCAACGTATGCACACGCTCAGTTGTGTGGCTTAATTATTGGACCATGGTATAGTGTCATAGGTCACAGACATACCCTCTGTTCTCTCTGGTAGGGTTTAGCTCAAAGGGTTTTGAATGCACTTAGCACTATACTATAGCATGTTAGTGACATCTTTGCGGTGTGGACTCATAGACAATTGCTTTGGTACCAATACACAGGTTGAGTCATCACCTGCCAAGCCAAAGGAGTACGAGATCAGGCGCACATTCGACGCCATTTACGACCAGCTGCTCATTGTGGGCTATAACTTCTTCATCACCCTTTTGGTCTTCCCGTCGCTCACGTATGTCCGAGTATAGTTGTATGTGTCCGTGCCGTCATAGGTGTGTTTAGCTTTAATTTCTATATATATATGCGCGTGTGTGTATGTATGTATGTATGTATGCATGTGCATTATCTATCTATATATCTATGCATGTATTTCTGTATGCGTGCATGTATGTGCGTGTGTATATATTTATGTATGTGCAGGTATAAGTGCAGCCCTATTTTGAGTATTACTGGTCCTATAATCCGCATCTTTGTGAGGGGCACCGCCCACGGACACCTCTCTTTCTCTCTCTCTCCATCCATCCTGCACAATAACCCTGACCATCGTCCCTGTCTGGTTGCACAGGTCTAAGATCATTGACCACAACCAGTGGCTGGTCCAGGCAGACGGCACCAACCTCTTCGTCCCCGTGTTCACTTTCCTGCTATTCAATCTGGGCGACGTAGTAGGACGAACCCTGTCGGCCTATGGCAACTTGTTCACAGCCTACAACCTCCGCTATGCCGTGCTTGTGCGCACACTGTTTGTACCAGCATTCCTGCTATGCGATGTCAAGTTTAGGTGTGTGTGTGTGTGTGTTTATGTGCAAGCGCTCAGTGGAGCTGTATGGTTGTGGCGCGTTCCGTTTTCACTCACATGTGCTTCAACTGAGACTTTCTTTGTATGTTTCGATTAGCCTTGGGTAATGTTGACATAGGGTATACGCTCTTAGATTGTATTCGAGGTGTCTGTGTCTTGATTGGTGACCGACCTGTCGTCGTTTTTCTCTTAGCTTTAGCCGTAAAAGACGAGCATTTTTTTTTGTCGTCAGATCAAAATTATGAAACACTAGTACTCGGGCACGGGCTGTCATGTGTTTGGCGAAGGAACGCGTATAGTACCAGTCGACTACGATATTGAGGCTATAATTTGCACACTCTCATATCTGTAGTATATTTCAAATCTGTATATCTACGTATATGTCCTTGTCTCGCACCACTCGATGGTACGGTCCATGATATACCTTAAAGCCAAATGGGTTAAGATATATGTATATGCTTCAACGTCGGCTTTGCATAGATTGCTCTAGCACCGAACATACTATACAAATTTTCTATTAAACTATAAGGGTATAATTAAATGTTATAGGTGTATGTAACATGGTATATATACTGCAACACACGTGTAACAAGTAGGAAGTGAAGCCCAAGCCCTTTAAACGCACTAAATACAAGTGTTTAGTTGAAACCCCTTCGACGCCTACTATAGGTTGTGTTCGAACAATTCGACCTTAAAAGATGACGCATATTCAACCTTTGAACATATACCTATTGTCCTTTACCTCCGCCATTTGGGCACGATACAATCCGCCTACTACACGCAGTTTCTATGTATATATATATATATATACTCAACTCACTGAACCGCATCCATGCCTCCGCCCCTTTCTCTCTCTCTCTCGCTACAGCATCGTGTCTGCCGTCCTATTCAACAGTGATCTGTGGTACATACTGTTCATGATCCTGTTCTCGGTGTCCAGTGGTTACCTTGGAGCGCAGTGCATGATGTTTGGACCTCAGTGTGCCGATGTTCGGGACAGGGAGTGTGCGGGTACTATGATGGCCTTCTCGCTGACCATTGGGTTGCTGATAGGTTCGTGGTTGTCGTTCCTTCTCATCGCTGACTAGGCGACTGCCGAGGCGTGAGGATGAGATAGTGTGGGAGAAGGTCTGGCTGGTTTACTAGCTGCTCAGCAGGACATTACTTAGAAGTACGGCTGGGGTGGGTGGTGTGTGAAAAGGGTAGCCCCCGTTACTAGTTGGTTTTTAGGTGAGGAGAGTGACACAGCATCTGCACTTGTGGGGAGGCAAAATTTAGAATGGAATTTAGTTTACAGTTGTTTTGTAAAGGAAGAAACGAATAATAAAATTTAGCACTATGTAGTGGAATTCGGATTGTTACAAAATATTTTTGGGCATTCTGAGAAAGCAAGACATTGAATGTATAATATTCGAAATATATAGCCATTCGTACGGTTGATAGTTCATTATTTCGATATGGTGTCTATGTAGACATGAATGCACAATATACGTAATAAAATGCCATTCATACTGTTGATAATTTATGATTTTTCTATTGTGCCTATGTTGACATGAATATACAATCTTCATAATAAAATACTTTTCATACTGTTGGTACTTCATATTTCTATATGGTACCTATATAAACATAAATGACAAATGTGTATACGAAGAAAAAATATATCATTCACCCGATTGTTAATTAATTACTACTATATGCTGCCTATGTAGACATGTATGTATTCTACACCGAAGGACAATGCCATTCATATTGTTGAAATTCCATTCTTTCGATATGGTTCCTACATGCAGACATGAATGTAGAATATACGGAGTAAGAAGCCATTCATACTGACATTCAATGTAAGAAATACGAAATAAAATGCTTCTCACACTGTTGATAACTCATAACT